AGTTGTTGTGTTTTTTTTTATTTTTACTTTAAACATAATGTGTGAGTTTACATTCCAGCTTTGATTTAGCACGTCGGGGAGCAACAAGGATGCAGCTTCATTTTTTTTTAGTCAGAAATCACTGCGAAACTTCGAGAAGTTTTCTTTGGCATGGCCGAGCAACAGATGTGGTGAGGGGGAACGTAGCGGAGGTTCGGTTCTTATATAAACACTGGACGTGTTGGCCGAGGGAGGAATTCAGCGAGTTTGAGCTCAGCCTGAAGCAGACTGGGATGGGGCTGGAAGACGGTGCAGGTGCTTTGGCACCTGCTGAGGGTTAACAAAGGTCAGTGGTTTTCCCTCAGGCCCACATAAGATCTGTTGAGATATTTGAGCCGGATCAAACTAATCCAAGAAAATAAACCTGTGCTGCTGTAGAACTTAGATTTAAAATATTCTCCTGTCAGTGCTAAAACCCGATCCAGGAGGGGAAAAAAAACAACAGGTTCATGAGACTCCTGACGTGGCCTCACACCCTACAGAAAAAAATCTGACATTCTTCTTTTCTTTTTTTTTTTTAACCCTGCTTGCTTATAAGTCAAATAAAGCYAAACCGCAATTAAAAAGCTTGTAATAAACTGAAAAAAGCAGCAAACCCAAACAATAAACTCTGAACTCGTGCCTTTTCCTGCTGTGAGTCAGATAATAAACACAGGCCTGTTTCTGACTGTAAATCTTTTTTCAGGATTATCTAAAGYGATAAAAGATAATTACCCCCCTTCAGTTACTTTAAATGTCCTTTCTCAGCGTTTATCCTGGAATGTTTTGTGGAAGTTTATTGTCTTTTTTTTCTGTCAGAAGAATGTCCTCAGCGTTCACGATTCAAGGGTTTGTTACAGTTTTATAAACAAATCAAACCTTTTTCAGACCGACGTTCGCCATGTTCAATGAAAATAAAGTGATCAGAAGGTGAATCAAAAGACTTCAGAGAAGTCTGATTTATTTGAACGTTTAAAGAGGATTTACAACCTTCTTTATGATGGGATACTTCTGCATTATGGTGCAGTTTATCTCAGAACGGCTCTGACAAAAGAAATAAATAAAAATTAATTGTTTTAGGATGACATGAACACATATCAGGCTCATTAAATATTTTGTTTTTATTTGTGGCGTGTCAATTGAAGACTTCAAAATACATGTTGAAAATGTGTGCACATAGTAARTCCTCTTTCAGTTATACGGTTTTATGTGTAACATTGTAAAAAAACTGTTTTTTAAACTAACTAACCTGAGGTGTACAAAAACATACAATAGATTCCATTATTATTAATTGAAAACAAATCCAAAATCTAAAATCTGTGGAAAAACTAAATACATCTCATGAGTCTGTAGCTTGGTAGAATTACCACCAATAAGTTAAAGTGTATTTTCTTTATGAGTCTCATTGTGGAGGCATAATGGCCCACTCTTCTTTAGAATGTTGCAGACATTCGATCAACTCTTAATGTCCCACCACACTTTTTTCAGTCAGGTCTGGGTTTTAACTGGACCATTACAATTCTTCGCTCTTTTTTTTTTGTCGTTCTGTTCTAAGTTTATCACTGCCCGGTTGTGTCTTCACACAGTTTAACTTTCAGCTGTGAGACAGATGGCCTCACATTTAACTCTAGAATACTTTATATATAAAAACAAGACTTTTAGGTAGGATTTTGGAAGAATGTGTCGACTCTATCAGTCACCACCCCCCCCCCCCCCCCCCCCCCC